TATACTTCTAGAGTTATACTAATTCACCTACCATACATTAATTCACTTAAAATTTACCCACTTGCCTAAATTCACTTAAAATTTATTGACTTTACCTTTTTTTTTTTTCAATAATGAGGGAACCTGCAGTCGCTACCTGAAAGTGCACACTTAGTAAACCACCGACCGAACTTAATAGCCTGCAAATTAGGCCCGAAAAGACAAGTTACACTAGGCGAACCATGTGTGGCAGGTCAGAGCTGTCTCGGACTTTTTCAGAACCTTGAGCAAAAATATATAATAGACCCTATTAAAAAATGATTTTCTTTTTTTTTTTTTTCAAAATACTATCAACGAACAATATAACAACAAATTCCACAAAAAAAAAATTATATTAATCATATATATAATAAATGAAATATATCTAATAATAATTATGAGCTTTAACAATATTTACGAATTCTAAAGATGAGGAAGATAAGATTAATTTAATAAAAAAACCAAATTTGATTATAATTTAATTTTAGAATTAAAATTATATTCGGTAATTGTTGAAAAAACTATGAGATAAATTTTAAATTAAAATTTAAAATATCTAATAATAGCTAAAATTAAAAAAAAAAAAAAATACACTCCACGCACCACCGGACTATCTCTTGCGGGACTACCTAAATTGTTGCAAATTAGGGAAGTGGTTAAATAAAAAATACTACATTTGATTCTCAATAAAGATTGGATGAATGTTTAATTATTGGTAACATTTTACTGCAATAAAGATTTTGGCAATTAATTACTATATATATAAATGTTTAATTATGTACGTATTGTATAAACTTTAGTATGATACTAGTCAGAAACCCGATGCACGATATTTTTATAATTTATTTTTTTGTTCATCAAAAGTTTTTATATTTTTTTTTATGTTTCCCTTAAATTTTTATTAAAAGAACACATATATATTATTTTCTCTTAAAAATTAAAAATTAGAATTTAGGTAATCAGTAGTTATGTAACTAATATATATTTATATATAATAGCAAATTTATTTTTTAAATTCAAATTTATTATTTAATTTTAAATTGAATAGATAAGTATTCTATGTATACATCATAGTATCATATTCTTAATAATTTTATCAACTTTTATACTTATAAAATATTTATTGATTGTATTAAGTATAGTTTGTTAAATATGTTAGTTATGGTATATTAATTATGGATATTTAATATAAATTTATTTTAATAAAAATATCAAAAATAAAGAAAAATAAAATAAAATTGTATAGATTTATTGAAAATTTATATATACACAAATATATTTGAATAAAATTATAAGAACTCCATTAAATCATCACTATTTATATTTTTATTTAAAATAAATGAAAATTTTTAATTTAAATGAAAAAATATGAATAATATAATACATATATTATATATAAAAATAAATCAATTTTATTGTAATGTTATTATTAAATAAAAATTAATATAGAAATTATTTAAAGAGCAAATAATAGAAAAATATCTATAATATACAAAAAAAAAAGTTATACTATTGAATTATTTATACAAAGTACAAAACAATAACAAGAGAGAAACGTTGTCGTCGAAAAATTGAGGAAAAACTGACATGAAAAATATTTTCTAAAAAATAAGAGAATTACAGAACAAAGGAGATTAAAGTGTGACTCAAATAAATAAGAAACTGATCTTGTCGTGGGGGCAATCTGCATAATACAAAAATATAATTAATATTGCAAATAAAAATAAATTCATTTTTAATTTTATTATTAAATATAAACTAATATATGAATTACCTAAAAATAAATAATACAAAAATATCTGTAAACACAAAATTATATAAAATTATTTATACACCGTACAAAATAAAAATAAAATAAAATAGTATAAGTAACTTATACGTTAATACGACACATCATCTTCAGATTAGGTGGAGTTACAATATTTTGGAATTCTGATTATTAAAATGCAAGGAAAAAAACAACTAATTGGGTTGCGAAAGAAAATAAAAACGTTATTTAAATATTAACCAAAAACTCGCCGAAAAAATATTACCGGAAAAATGAAGAAAATTGAGAGGATAAAAGGATGAGAAGTTGATGTATGATTGAAATTAGGGTGAAGATATGGTCTTTTACAGACATTCAAATGAGGGTTGCTATCAAATTCGTCATTAATGTCGACGTTAATTAATCCGTAATTGACTTCTGTTGGGATATGAAGCCTGATTATATCCTAAAATCTAGGGATATGATTTGGATATTATATTTTAGATTTTAGAGATATTATTTTGATATTATTGTCAAAGGCTTAGGCTATAAATACCCATGTATTCTCACTTTAACCATGTGCCTACGTACTTTATAGTAAAATTCCTGGCTTGGCAGCGCCCCCAGACGTAGATCATCGTGATCGAATTGGGTTACCAAATCTTACGTTCTTTCTGTCTTTGTTATTTCATTTTGATTTCCTGGAATTTCCGTAACAACTTCTTTAATATTTGGTAACTTCCAATCATAAACGCCGGAATTAATTTTACTCATAATAATTTTAATTATATTTAATAAAATTGTATTATTTAAAAAGATATGGGTTAATTACGAATATAATTATAATTAATCTGTATGTTTAAAATATATATTTTTTAAAATTAGTTATAAAATTAATATAAGTTTAAAAATTTAAAAATTATTTATTATGAATATAATTAATATTAATTATATATTTTGATTAGAATATTACATTATTTTTAAATTTATTAAAAATTTCCAAAATTTTAGAAATAATAGTAATTCATTTTTAATATCATTAATTAGTATTATAATTATCATTAATAGTATTATTATAATTGTTATTAAGTATATTTTTATGGTATATTAATTATGAATATTTAATTTAATAGTATAATTTTATTTTATTAAAAAATTAAAAATGAAAAAAAAAACTGGTATGAGTTAGATTTTTCTTTTATATAGATAAATAGGTAAAATAATTAAAATAAATTAGTACTTTAAATATTATGAAATAAAATGAATTATTTAATTTTAAGATGAAAGAAGTATTATATATATATATTATATATTATACTCCCTCCGTCCAACATTTTTTTTTGGTACGTCTCGAACACCCTGCAATATTTTTAAAATAGGAAATAATTAATTATATTTAATCTCTACCCCACACTTTATCCCCTCACATCATCCAAATAAAAAAATAAAATATATATCTCTCCGTCACATTAGCTGATTTCTAAATTATTTTACTTAATAATATTCACCTAAAAATTCGTGTCAAAAGTAAATGTTGAACCTTGTTTGGGACGAAAGGAGTATTATATTATCAAATTATATATTATATTATATTATATTATCAAATTATATATATAAATTTGCTATGTATATTATTATGGTATATATATTATGAATATTTAATATAAATTTATTTTTTAAAAATAAAAAATTAAAAAAAAACAATAAATTGATATGAAATCCATATTTTTTATATATAATTAAAATATATTTCAAATTATAATGATTAAATATATATATAATAGTACAATACTTACATTGAAATATTAGTAAAATTTCATTACTATTAAATAGAGGTGTAAATGAAATCAATTTTTTTTTTTATTATCTTCAAAATATGTTCATTATAATTTTATTAATTATAATATACTTAATACAGTTTAATATGTATTATTTTATTAGAAAAAAAGTGACAATAAAATACGATGGAATGGATCTCATTTTAAATATAAAATAAAAAATAATAATAAAAAGATATGGTGTACTAAACCCCACATTGATTTCTTATATAATAATAATAAACCCCACATTGATCTCTTATATAATAATAATAATAATAATAATTTTTATCTTTTAATAAATATATTTATTAATCATAATTTCATTAATTATATCAATTATATTTATATCAATTAATATAATTACATTGAAAAATTAGTGAAATTCAATTATTTATTAATAACGGGTATAAATAAAAATTTAAAAAATATTACATAAAAGATTATAAAAATAATAAGACTTATTGGTGTTTTTATACATATTAGGATTACAAAATATAATTACATAGTTTTAATTTTATTCATTATCAATATGATTATTTATAAAATAATAAAAATTACATTTCAAAATTATTATATTTTCATTACTTTTAAATAGAACTATCAATAAAAATAAAATTATATTAGTATAATTTACTTTAATCATAAAATTAAATCAATTATTTTATTATCTTTAAAAATATACTAATTAAAATTTTATTAATTATAATATACTTAATAGCATTTAATACATATTTATTTTATTAAAAATAATAAAAAAAAATAACAAAAAAATATAGGTGAAGTGAACCTCATACTAATATCTGTTTTATATAAATAGATAATAATAATTTTTAACTTTGATAAATATATTTATTAATTATAATTTCATAAATTATATCAATTAATATAATTATTTAAAATCAATTATAATGAAATATTTGGAAAATTTTATTTTTTATTAATTACGGGTATAAATAAAGATTAAGAAAATATTAAATTAATTTATTTTTTAAGAATTAAAGAATAAAGAAAAACTAATGAAATCTATTTGCGTTTTTATATATATTAATATTACAAAATATAATTACTGATATTTTTAATTTTATTGATTATTAATATAATTATTTTAATTATAAAAATAAATAAAATTATATTCCAAAATTATTACATTTTCAATAATCTTAATTAGAAGTATAAATAGACAAAATTATAATTTATTTTAATCATAAAATTAAATCAATTAATTTATTATATTTAAAATTATATTATCTATAATTTTATTAATTATGATATACGTAATAATATTTAATACATATTTATTTTATTAAAAAATCAGAAAAGTTAACAAAAAAAATCTAATGGAGTGGAACCCACACCACCAAATCATCGAAGAGAGAGAGTTGACTTGAGATGACTCATGAGAACCAGTCGAAGATTTTAAAGTTCTTCCTGAGATGAGATGCTTCTTCTTCTTCTTCTTCTGCTACTTGTTCAATCCAAATTGAGTGTGAAGTGAAGGAATCAAATCGCCTTGTTCAGATCCGTAAAGGTAATTCAACTGCTTCACATATCATTTACTGCTTTAAAGGAATTTAACAAACTCATTAATTAATTATCTGCAACTGTTATTATTTGTATGTATGTTGTGAAGTGTTATATAAGAAACTATATATGGTGACTCATTCATCTGATCTGTTAGGCTCTTTTACTTTTGCTCCTTAGTAGTGACTAGTGAGATCTATTTTTATTGCCTCTTGGGAAGTTGATCTTGTTGATTTGCTAGATATATGTATGAATATTCATGCATTGATTGAAAATACCAAATTAATAATTCCAGCAGATCTCCTCCATGGACGCGGTCGGTGCAATTTGGGATATTCTGACATGCTTCTGTGGCTGCACAGTCAAAACTGTCAAGACAATCAAAGACCTGGAAACAAATGTGGAAGCCTTAGAAAATGCAATGACACAACTGAACGAAGTTCGTGAAGATGTGAAAAGAAGGGTGGTTCTCGAAGAGGAAAGGAAGATGGTACGCACTAATCAGGTCAATGGCTGGTTGCAAAGGGTCGAGGCGACTGACAAAAGTGTTAAGGAGTTTCGGGAAAAGGCTAGTCAGAAAAGGAATTGTTGTACTTGCTATTGGTTCAGATATAAGCTTGCTAAGGAAGCTGTTGTGAAGCGACAAGCTGTTGAGGAGCTAAGGAGGGAAGGACTAGCATTCGATACGGTAGCTGAGGCGTTGCCGCATGGTGTAGCAGATGAGAGACCTCTACGGCACACCGTAGGATTGCATTCACCTCTTGCACAAGTGAATAGATGGATTGAGGATGATAATGTGAGGATCATTGGGATATATGGAATGGGGGGTGTGGGGAAGACAACGCTTTTGAAGAAGTTTAATAATACTTTTCTAAGTAGGAATCATGGATTCGATAAAGTGATTTGGGTTGTAGTGTCTCAAACATTCAGCATTGGAAAAGTTCAGGATGCGATATGGAAAGAACTTAAGATTTCTGATTCTGATGACAAGTGGAAGGATAAGGATGACGAAGAAAAGGCCGTGCAGATCTTGAGTATTCTTCGTACGAAGAAATTTGTGCTCATGTTAGACGACGTATGGTCGTGGCTGGATCTTGTTAGAGTTGGTGTTCCGGATTTGGATGGCCAAAGAATGTCTAAAATTGTTATCACGACGCGATATGAACATGTTTGTGATTCCATGAGACAGGACAGGAAGATCAATGTAAGTTGTTTGGAGAAAAGGGAAGCGATGGAACTTTTCATGCAGCAAGTTGGACCAGAAATTATAGATTCTCATCCAAGTATTCGTGAAAGTGCTGAAACTGTTGTGAAAGAATGTGATGGCTTACCACTTGCCTTAATCACTGTGGGACGAGCCATGGCTGGGAAAAAAGATCCCCGTGATTGGGACATGGCAGTTAAGAAACTACGTAGGGATCCGTCGAAGATCATGGGACTGGAAGATGATGTTTATCATGTTTTAAAGTTTAGCTACGACAGTTTACCCAGCGACACAATTAGATTGTGCTTCTCTTATTGCTGCATATTCCCGGAGGACTTTGAAATCTGGATCGATGATCTCTTAGACCTCTGGATTGCAGAAGGTTTTTTAGAAGAATACGATGATCTGCATGAAGCCCGTGATCAAGGTCGAGATATAATTAGAGACCTTAAAGCTGCAAGCCTTTTGGAGGGTGGAAGAGTTTCGTTGTTTGTCAAAATGCACGATGTTATCCGCGACATGGCTTTATGGATTTCCAATGGACTCGAAAAAAATAGAAAGAGGTATTTGGTTCTGGATCACATAGATCTGGTCGAAGAGTGTGCTGAAAAGATGATGGAAGCTGAAAGAGTTTCATTGTGGGGTGCAACCATAGTAGATGTCAGAAGAGTTCAACCATGGAAGAAGACGTTGACTTTCATGATAAGGGACACCAGAGTGAAAACGCTCCCTTTCGAAATGTTGCAGTGTATGTTTATCCTCAAGGTATTAGACTTGTCAAGGAATGAAAATCTAGTCGAGTTGCCCTCAAGCATCGGTGAATTGGTGCAACTTGAGTTTCTTAACTTGTCCGGCACCTCAATCAAGGAATTGCCCATTGAGCTCAAGAACTCGACAAAAATGAAGCACTTGCTACTGGGTTATCTAGAAGTGATTCCACGGCAGGTCATATCAAACTTCCCTTTGTTGCGTACATTTAGATTGTTCGGTGCTCAAAGATTTGATTCATCGGATGTGGATGCAAAAGATAACATACTGAGTGGAGGTATGGTAGAGTTGTTAGAATTATTGGAGGGCTTGCAGCACATTAGCACCGTATCTCTCACACTATTCGACAAGAAGTCTATGGAAAAGCTTAACAACTCACCGAAGCTACTGAGTTGCTTAAGTTGGCTTTATGTTGGAGAGTTTATTTCAGTAGAGTCTCTATGTTTTTCAGCAGAGAGAATGCGGCATCTTGAGGGGCTATCTCTAAATGGCTGTCAGGTGCACGAGGTTATAATAATTGATTCTAAACAGCATCAGTACGAGGATGAGGATAGATATGGTGTCGTCGGCATTTATGATCACTCCATACCATCATCACAATCACAAGCAGCTCCATGTTTCCATAACCTCAATCGCATATGCATATATTCTTGCCCCAACTTGTTGGACTTGTCGTGGCTTGTCTATGCTCCAATGCTCCAATCTCTTGTGGTGCAGGATTGCACATCCATGGTTGAAATTGTTAGTGCAGGTACAGGTCATGACGTTGCAGATTCTACCCAGTTATTTTCAAGGCTTAAGGATATATACCTTTCTGACCTTCCATGTCTGGAAAGTGTGTATCCACGTCCCTTGCCATTTCCATCTCTCATCGAGATAATTGTGAACGACTGCAAAAGGCTTAAACGATTGCCGCTTGATTGGACAAGTGGACGAGGTGGCTGTCTAAAGGAGATCGAAGGAGAGAGTGAGTGGTGGGATGCACTGCAATGGGAGGATCCAATGCACGAGCCTCACTTCCGCCAATATTTTGTGCCTAACGAGTAAGGGTTATTTATATATATATATTTGTGGTGCGACTAAGCCATGGGTTTATTTCTTTTGATAAGTTTGAAAAAATTTTGATTTAAATTTATTATTAAAATAATGTACAATAGGATATTTTGTAAGAATAAAAACTGTATTTTTTTTTCTATTTAGAAAGACAGAATAAAGATATAGTAGAAATATGAGATTTTTGGTGCAAAGGAACACACAAGTTTTAATTCCATGATTTGTTTGAAAGGTGTCGTCTGTATATTTTTAATTTCTTTCTTTCTTAAATTTTAATTTATATATATACATATAATGCCGATGAAATTTATAAATTATAAAAAAATAATTTTTAAAAATAATAATTAAAAAAAAAAGAATAACAAAATAGATAATTAATAAAATACATATATAATAAGAAACTATTGCAATAAAAATAAAAAATTTATATATTAAAATTTATTATTATTTTTTGTAAAAATTTTCAAATATATTTTAAATCAAAAGCCTTGAAATTCAAATATAATCTATAGAATAAAAAAAAAAATGTATTAGAATTAGAGCCATAAATGGGTCAATTCGTGTCGGGTTCGTGTCAGGTTGAATATTTTAAACGGGTTAAATTACTCAATCCTAACCCGATCCGTTTATTATCGTGTCGGATTGAATATTTTAAACGGGTTAAATTACTCAACTCTAACCCGACCCGTTTATTATCGTGTCGGGTTCGGGTTGACTTGTATTGACCCGTATACATAATTAAGTCGAATTTCTTGATTTAAATTAAATAATTTTTTTGTTGTGTTATCGTGTTATGTTAGTTTTTATTGGTTTAAACATAAATTAAGTTGAATTATTTAAAATTGAACTTAGTTTAAATTAATTTACGAAGAAATTATTAAATTATAATTATTTTACATATATAATGAATATATTAATCAATATTAATATATTATAATCGGGTTGTCGTGTCGGGTTCGAGTTAAGAGCCTCAACCCTAACCCGACCCGTTTACTATCGTGCCGGGTTCGTGTCAACCCGTATACATAATCGGGTTGAAATCTTTGACCCAAACCCAATTATTTCATGTCGCGTCAGTTTTTGCTAGCTCTAATTAGAATATATATTCTAAATGTCTCATTTACGCGTTGATCTTTGAATATTAATTATTATATACAAAAAATAGGACAAATTAAGAAAAAATTGCAAAATCACTTTCATCTCATCGATAGAACGACATTTGTAAAAAAAAATTATAAAAATATTTTTAGTGTTAAATACAATTACCAAAATAGTAAATGCCACTTAAAGAGGTATGAGAGAATATTTATTTTCTGTTCCCGGGCCAGCAGGGCCCAGTTTTGATTGAGTACTAGACAGGCCCGGATCAACCTTTGGTATACAAAAAAGAATGCAATCCCCTTCAAAATGGGATTTGTGACAGTGGAATTGAAACCTTCAGTATATTAAACATAAAAGTATGTAATAATTTTTAAAAGATCAATACTTAATTTCTCATAACTATATAAATTACAATAATTATAAATTTGAAAATACAATTATACTTCAAAATAATAATTTAACTTTGAAAGGGAAAATGATAGTATATTTTTACTTAAATTATGAAAGTTAGTTGAATATTAAAAGAAAAAAAAATACCAAATAAATTTTGAAAATCATATCACTAATATAAAAAGTAATATTTTGTATTGAATTATCTATTTTATTGAGAGAATATAATATAAATATTATATATATTAAAAATAATGTCAGCAAAAATACTAATTAGGTGAACATAGAGAAGTAGTAATTGACCATCGGCTCTGTAAACATAAAAAACAATATACTGTGTTTTCGATGTTTGTTTGGAAGTTTGGTTGGAGTTGAAAATAATAAAATTTTGAATTGAAAATTAAATAATTTTAATGTGATATTTTGAGTATAAAATAAAATTTGGATATTATATTTTTTAGTGAAAAGTAGATATTTGATTTAATTATTTTAAGGATAAAAAAAAGCTATGAGTTACGAAAATCGTGGAAGACAACTTTGTCCTAGCTCAACAAACACTCGAAAATCGAGTACAAACTAGATCAAAGACGAGATAGGAGCAGAGGATATGGCAGCGGAAAGATTTAATTAGAACGGTTCGCGGTGGAGCACGAATGCAAACATGTTTAATTTGTATGACTTGTCGAACATGCATATTTGATATTTCATCTATTTGGATCACACAAGGGCAGACAAGATCAATGTCGTGAAATTGTGAAAATCAAAATAAAAAAGAATGTATATAATTTGATAACTTAATTTGATTAGAATGATCTACGTTTGGGATAATTACGTCAAACTTCAGTTGACGACAACTAATTAACTAAGGTTTTGTTTTACCTATTAATATTTATTAATTGTAGTTATATATATGTATTTTTATATCTTAAAAGTCACATTCAAATTTGTACAACTAAGAGCAGAATATTAAACTTAAAGTGTTATATATATATATATATATAATCATGAAGTTGAAGAGTATTATAAAAATAGTGGCACTGATGATCAATTAATTAATTTCAATCATTCACTTGATTTCATTCAACAATGACATATATATGTATATTAATCAATATAATTAAAAATCACAGCAAACAAGATGCATGCATGCATGGTTGACTTGAGATGAGCCAGAGTTCTTCCTCAAATCAGACAAAGTTCTTTCTGAGATGAGATGAGATGCTTCTTCTTCTCGATAATTATCTGAACTATAATTTTGTATATTTATTTGTATGTTATAGTTATTACATCTATCACATTATTTCTTTTATCTCTCTTTTTCGTCATATTAATCTCATCACTTTCGCCAATATTTTAAATTTTCTTAAAAAATTTCTTAAATATATATATATATATATCTATACACATGCACTGTTATTATGATAACAATATTACAACATTTTTAAGAAAATTTAAAATATTGGCGAAAGTGATGCTCGAACATTTGATTCTCCCATTCCAGTGCATCCCACCACTCCTATATTTGTATGTGTTTGTTAAATTGAAATAGCTCTCATACGAATATTTTTAATATTATGGATTTGTTTAGTTTGTATTTCTAGCTGGTTTTTTATTTTAGAAATTCATATAATTTTTATTACAGACATATTTTCTATCATAAATAAATAAGCTTATTTTTTAATTGGCATTTTAGGTTAAATTGGAATTCAAAAATTTCAATATATTGAAATTTGATGTAAAATAAAAGTATATAATAATAATGTATAATAGTTAATTTTTCATAACTTTATAAATTACAAATTGTTAGATAATGTAAATGACCATCTCACCTAAACTATATTTACTTGTGAAATTTTACTCTTCATTTTACTATTTCAATCTCTTTTTTCCTAGTATAGGATGTTAAGAAAGGATTAAGACTTCTAACCTAAAACTAATTGTTGATGGGTGGAGATGCCATTTACCCTTATAAGCGAGATCCCACAAAATTTGTATCTTGTAAAAAAAATCATTTTTCTTGCCCTTGGCTTTGAAGGCACAAAAATTTATTTATTTTAAGTGAATTTAATGGTATTTGATATGGCATGAGCAAAACCCAACCCAATAAATATAAGAATGATGTTTGGTTATTAATTGGTAGATGATTAAATTTGCAAAATTTTTCGAATATATAAATGTGTGACAAAATTAATAAATTTCTATCCATGGTTAAATGAAACACAAAATCAAGCATGAATTAAAGATTCATGTACCTAAGAAATTAATTCTCGCATATTGATACAATTTCAAATTTTATTTTCATGGAAACAAAATTTTATCAATCATTATGTCGGATGTTGAATGACCGTCTCACCTAAAAGGTCGAACTATTAAGGAAGCACTGTCATTAATCATATATCCGCAAACAGGAATCCCCAACACATTCCTTTCCATTTACGTTATCTTCGCTGCGGATTTCAAACTCATTCCCAACACAAGCGCCAGATGCAGCTAGGGAAGCCTTCTCGGCTTCATGACATTCCTTCGTACATTTTTGTCTGCAAATATTGATTATTATGACACGGGCGCATTGCTGATCGCAGTACACACTTTGCAATCTTTTGCCGACGAGGCAGCCATCACCATTAACATGATGATAATAATAGCTTCGATCTTGATCCTCTTGCTCTCCATTTTGCAATTATCCGTGTGTGTTTTAGTCGAACGAATTATGTTTTCACTTGATGGAATGGTCGAGAGGGGAGTGATTTATACAGATAAAATTTTATGTTGGATTATATTAATCTGATTTGTATTTGTGTAATTAGATTATATATAATTATCATTTTGGATTTTCAAAAAAGAAAAATGTATCATCACTAATTTCCAGAGATTGGGCTAATCCAGCCAAGTCAGCATAGTGCATGTTGAATTATCTCATGTATTGACATAATATTTAATACATAAAATTACATTATGTAAAAAAATAACAATACTAATAAAAAATTAAAAAATATATACATTATGTATTGTCAAACATGCGTGGTCGGGGACTTTCTCCAAAATGCCTCGGGACCAACAAATAGGTCTTGTCTACCTACCTTGTACCTCATACCAGTGGAGTTTTCGTATAACTTATTGTTGAAAATTTTAACTATTGGAGACATAATATAAAATTCCTCAATAAATATAATTAGTAAGTCTATTTTTTAACTCGGCCCATCAGACTCAGCCCAAATATTTCACCCAAGTCCAAATCATTTAGTCAAACCCAAACCCATAGTTTAATCCAAGTGTATTTGAGCTTGTTGGGTTTGTTATATTATTTTTGAGATTTAGAGAAAGGTTGATTAGACAAGATTATAGATAGAGTAGAGAGGGAGAGATGGAACCGATGTGGTTTTTTTTTTTTTTTTTTTTATGCCTTATGATTTGAGAATCCGTCGTCATTACCTTTCGAATGCTCTACGTAAATTCATTCGAACTTAATAGCCTACAAATTAATTCTCACAAGATAATTCATATTAAGTGAATTATACGTTAATACGACCCATCATTTTCAGATTATGTGGTGCCCCAATATTTTGGAACTCCGATTATTAAAATGCAGGGAAAAAAACAACTATATTGGGTGGCGAAGGAAAATAAAAACGTTATTTAAATATTAACCGAAAACTCGCCGAAAAAATATTACCAAAAAAATGAAGAAAATTGAGAGGATGAAAGGATGAGAAGTTGATTTGT